TTTTTTTTTTTTACTAATTTTATAATTATTATTGTTGTTTAAAACCAATCTATTTGTAGCTAAAAATATACTTTAAAATAAACCATTCATCAATCATATAAAGAGGCAGTTTTATTGGTAAATTGCAATAAATTTTAATTGCACAAATTTACTGCTCTTTTAGCATTGATTTATTGTTCATTAGTACAGTCACCCAACCAAAAAAAGAATAGGAACAAAAAACTCGCCATTTTAGTCGGTAAAGCTTTTTTTTTTCCTAATAGTTTTAGTTTTTATGTGCTTATAAATATAGTATCACAGAAACTGAACAGATTATTAATCAAACTAAGAACAGTTGGTTAAAGTCATTATTCAAGTTAAAAAATGTGAGCGTAAAATAAAAAAACGATCTGTAACAGAGTTACAAATATCGCTGTCAACTTACTTTGGTTGATCATCAGACACAAAAGTTTTATTAGCAAATAATGAAGAATAATTTGCTGTTTCCAAAATGCCATCCTAAATAAATAAACAATAATTTACAGTTACAGACAGAAATAATTTGTTTTTCCAATGATTTTAGCAACAGTTTTCTTTGCTCTTTCACAAAACGAAACAAAAAAAAGTGATTACGACAACAGTAAATAATATCAAAACAGATGTTTGTTGTTACATTAAGCGACCTGTTACAATTATTCCTATTTAATTAAATTATTATAATTAAAAATTAAGCTTTTTTAATAAAACCGACATTAACAAGCATTGAGTATCTTGTGCCGGCGATATTCATCTTCAGAAAACTAAATCCTCAAATTACGCATAAAAATTTCAAATATGTAACAGCAATTACGTATTGTCATACTTTACCTCAGCCACTAATCGTACAGTTTTGCCATCAGAACCACCCTGATGAGCTTCTGTTGGAACCTCTTGCATAAAGCTGAATGCTGGCTCTTCATAGAACTCAGTAAATTGATCTCGTTTTGCTCGTTTTACTGTATTTTTTACCGTAAAATCTTGAGAATCTAATGGTGAAGTTGTTTCAGACGTTACAGGTTTTCTTATTTTGGCTTCAATCTTCTGCAAGTAAAAGACCCATTTTTTTTTCAGAGACTATACAATAAATTTAAGAAATTACAGTTTTTACAACTACTTGCATACAAAAAAGTTTTTAATCAGTTATACAATAAAAAAAAACTAAGATTCTTCAATGTATTTGTAAATACCTGAATTGGTTTGGTTAAAAAGGTCATAATATCAATTGGTTGCGGCTCTAAATAAAAGCCATTAGCATTTGGTGTCATATCTGCTGATGCATTTCCAGTAATATTGGCTGGACCAGCCCAAAATGTTACATTTTCTAAACGAATATAACAGGTTAAAAAAAATGGTTTAGATTCTAGACAAAGATTGGTGTTACAGATGTCGATTGAACGAATTTCTGACTAAACACTAGTGACAGCACTGTTTAGTTGACCTGATCGACAATACCTGTAAGAAGTGATCCAGGAACGAAGTGGAACTTTGAAATAATAAAACGATGGTTATCTACAGCCCACACTGCACCAGCAAGGTCATAATGTTTCTTCGAAGTACTCTACAATTATTTATTTTTATATACAGTTTTGAAAACTTTTTTTTTGGAATTTTCATAATAGAAAGGAGAGTTCATCAATTACCTATATAGCACTTTTTTCTTCATCAAAGGAAATTGGTCAATTCATATCAAAAAATTTAAAAATTTTATACCTTGATGATTTTCATGTTTACCTGATCAACAAAACTTCCACAATATTTGCCATAAAATGGTAATTTATCAGATGGAATAGTTGCTGGATTTTTGACATTGGCGGAAGGTCTTGGACGGTTTTGTTGAATCCATTCAAGTAATCGATTTTCATGCTGTTTCAGCGATGCAGTTGTGCTGTTGCTTGATCCACTAGAATGACATCAGTGCTGTGAGGATTATAGCGATAACTCATCAAATGTTCCAACAAATCATCCGAAAAAAAAAAGCTTGAGAAATATGAAAACTGACTTGATAGCTGTTAATACACTGCCAGTTTCTAGTTCACCAGATTGTATTGCTGCTTGCAACAGAGCTCGTTCTTCTTCCGGAAAATTTTTCAATGCTTTTTCGACATCCTTATCTGTTAGAGTGCTCGAATTTGTTGCCAAAATTTCTTTTTCTGCTAAAACCAAATTTGCTTTTTAAAACATTGACCAAATAAAATAATAATATAATTTGGTCATACCTAAGGTTGAAAAAAGCTCTTTGGTATTCAGTATATTTGAGGGTTGTATAACAGGAGTGTCGGCAATTGCGTTACCGGTAGGTAAAAGTGCTTTGTTACCGGTGATTGCTGAGGTTAATGCCGAAAATAATTCTTGCTGCAATTATAATAGACGATCAGTGTTTTGGTTTGAAAAAAAAAAGCAAAAAAACTTTTGGAATAACTTTTAGATAACAGTCATTAAGACACACCTGATTAGACCCTGGTAAGCTCAATAAATTACGAGCAATTTTTGAAATATCCTCAACAACATGTTCAGAACTAAGAAATGTGGCTAAATTATTTCCAGCATTTGTTATATCAGTGCCAATTGCTGGTAATGGAGCTTGTCGAAGTTGTGATTGAGCAAATATTGAATTTGCTATATTGGCACTTTGCGGAGATATCGGTAACGTTGATGGGACCGGAAGTAATCTTGAATAATGTGGCATCGACCTGTAACCAGAGATGAAAAATTGTTTGATAAAGTTCTTGAAACTTATCAAAGTTATATTCAATAAACATATAGTAGTATACAAGATATTTGTTTTTTTAGTGTACAAAAATTGTTTTGCTATTACTTCATAGCTGCTGAAGCAGCTCCAATTGGTAGTTGCAGCGTATTTGCAGCCAGAATCTGTGATGAAGGTTTCTGAGTAATAATATAACGGTGTGGTTGCGACCGTAATTGTTCGTTGTTTGAATTACTGTTGGAATAATTGTTAGTGTTTCGAGAGTGTTCATCTTTCCAAATTGGTCTTGCTTGTGCGATAAC